TTAAAAAAATTAAATATGCTTTGAAATTATTTGATTCTCTGGTTTTCGATCTGTGTAGTTTGAAAGTTTCGTTCTAAACTCGATTGAATTGATTTGTTAATTGCAATAAAAGTCCGTTATAACGGTAATCCTCAATAACAAATGGAAATGTCGTGATTGCAAGCTTGACCTCTTAAGCCAGTGTTTTCCTTAAACTTACAACTTTTGTGTACCCATTCTAAATTTTCGTAACGCTGTGTACTACTAATAAAAAAATGAATGTAAATTTTTAAAAATATGTTTTTTTTTTCTTTTTTGGTAGAACGTTTCGTTAATAAGCTTATTTGCATCAGTGAGAAGGATGATATTGTTTTTGCTGTGATAACAGCTGCTGTGATTAAAAAAAATTGCACAAAAGTTAAAAATCACAACTGGCTGTCGACACCAGTAACTGTTAACTGTTAACTCGGCAAAAAAATATCCAATTGAAAAATATGCAATCGTAAATTTTCATGGCTAGCTTTGTTTTCAAATAAGATTCTTTGAAATTTTCGTTTGTTGCAGGATATTTCGCATAAGAGCGCGTACAATCCCCTGTTGCTGTACCCCTGGGCTTACGCGTACCACACTTTGGGAAACACTGCCTAAACAAATGAGTCTATTTAATACTGAAACAGCATTAAAAAGACTGAATTATAATAATGTAAAATAGTTTTTGATAACATTAATAATACTGATCTTAATAACTAGCTCTCAAAAATGGATATAAACACTCTAGGTCTCTTAAAAACGGAGCTCTCAAAAACGTATCAGAATAAGGTAGTTCAAAAATAAAAGGCATTTCCATTTGAAGTGTGGGACAGAAGATCATACTTAAGATATTAAAGTTCTTTTTGAGATCCTAATAAGGTCACAGCAAAATAAAACAATAACCTGATTTTTCACGCTCCAAAAGTGGTAACTTTAAGGAACTTTTCTTACAAGTAGTTAACTTAGTAGTTAATTAAATAGTTGTCAAATAATTGGTTTTGCAAGTCATACTTTCTTTTACATCTTGTTAACTGACGGCGCTGTTAAAAGGTTTATCTTCAATATTAAAAATCTCGCTATAATATCTAGGCTGCTTAGTGGTCAGGAGAAGATAACCGTCATATACCAGAGACAATAACCAGTGGTCATTTCACTATATTAAGTACATTAAATTATATGAACATCAGTCCCCTCGTGAGCTAGAGTTCAATAAACGGAATGAATTTAATCATGAATTTCTGTTTACATAGTTTTTCTTACCGTAACTAACTAACCATAAGTCTTTTAAAATACCAACTAGTGATAATTTTCAAAGTCCAAATGTTACCTTAATGCCTTAACATCCTCAAATATGGCTAATTTTAAACCGTACCGATTATATATAAAGAAAAATCTAAGTGTATTTCTTTTCGGCCATGCTATTTTGTGTGAAATAAACAAGAGAAATGTATTTATTTATTTAGTACAAATGTGCAGAAGATTGATTACGACACCATAAGTTTCTCTTGCCTTTCAATCAACATCAAAATGCTCGACTTCGAGGCCAGGTCGTCATGCTACCAAAGCTAGGGAGTCATCCCCTCTACAGAGGATCAAAATAGCGATGGTATGTCTTCGAATGGAGCCTATTGAGCAGCTCTAGTGTGACGTAAATAAAGTACCTACTTACCTCCAATCAAGACCACCTAGAAGAAGAAGACCTACGCATGGGTAACCATTAACAAGAAATCCGAAACTTTAGTAGTCCGAACGATATGACAACTTCCTTATTTTTTCGCCAACTGCTCTGTAAGGTAGTCCGAAGCTTGTGACTTCTTTCTTATTAACCCCCAATGCACAGTTTACGTTTTCTCCTTCGGTGCACTATTACTGCAAAAGATTCCTAGGAATGAATGTCTAGGGATCGTACAACCTAAACCAACACCCTCTAGAAAAGAGAGGGCCTCTGCACGGGTTACCATAAATATCGTTTAGTAGTCCAAACGTAATGACATATCTCGTATTTTCAACAACTGCGCAGCTTAGTACCCCGAACGTAATGACATCTTTCTTATTTTTCATCAACTGCGCAGTTAACTTCGTCACATCGGACTACTAATTTGAATCCGTGCTGAGGCCTTTCTTCTTCTAGGAGGTGTTGCCTAAACCCGTATCTATCAAATAATTTGATTGGAGCCGTAGTTGTTCAGGGGATAAAGCGCTCACCTCTCAATGAGGTGAACCAGGTTCAAATCCTAGCGACAGTTGGTCCATAGCAATTACGCAACCGGTTCCAATCGCCCACAGTGCTGACGTAAAATATCCTCAGTGGTAGACGAATCATGGGTTAGAGTCCGCTTGCAGCCCGGCTCACCTTGAGAGGTTTTCACCAAGTGTCAGTACCATCAAAAAGTCAATAATGAGTAAGTAAAATAATTGGATTGATTTGAAAGTACAAAAGGTAGGTGCGAATATACTGCTCCAAACATAAAAATCAACCAACTCAACTTTTGAAAAATCAAAAGTATTAAGAACTGCACCTAGCGCAAAAGAAAGGTGAAAATAAAATCAGATAATGAACAAAAACAATATTGGATGAAAGTGCAAATTTTGCGAGTCTGTGCTGCATCAAACTTAACTAAAATCACATGCTCGGGGTATTGTTACAAACAGTGTCATAAACTATGTCTGACGAGAAAATAAATCGATAAAATGAACAACGGTCATAACTAAAATCTTAGGTTCCAGAAATTAGGATAGGAAACTTGGGTAAAGCAATAAGGAACGGTTAGAATATTATGAAATGGAAATGAAGTATAAAATGGGGGTGGAGGTTTGTGATTTGCTTATTTTTGTTGAAAATTGTTGCATAAGCTATGCTTGCCTAAAACATTAAAATCCCCTTATTTTCAAAGTTTTCTTAAAAAACGTAAAGAATTAGTAAAAAAATTATACTTTTGACAATTTAAAATGTTAAAATAAAGTAGAATTATGAGAAAGAAAATATTGGAAAAAAAAATTTTCTTTGAAGAGCTGCAGAGGGCAGGAGTTTTGAGCACAAAAAGAAGGAGCGAATGTTTCTTAAATAATATTCTGTTCAAAATTTCGTAAAGTAAATTAAAACATAAACTTTGTTTAATGCAAAGTTACATCGTTTGATTTTACATCTTGCAATTTGCTTTATTTTTATAGCAGTTCAAAACTACCAAAAATATGCTTACGTAATATTTGAATGGCCCTTAAATCCAAAAAAAACACATGCTGAGCTTACCAAAAAGTCTCTAAAGAGAGTACTTACCAAAGTAGAATAAATTCATACTGTTATCTGTTTTAGTTTTACTAATAGGTAAAGCAGTACACGGGTAATAAGTAATAGTAACAGCAAAACTTTATTGACATCGAACTAGAGATGCATAATGGACTACTGTTGATGGTCTGGGAAACATTTCGAACCGTCAACAAGGATTATTCGAAGGCATGACATCACAATTTTTATCTTTTGCAGACAGGATGGTGCCACCACTTTAATAGCCCGATGATGTGCACGCGAAGTTGAACTCTTTACGGTAGACCAGTTAAACGAGGACCGATACCACGCACTCTCGTTCCTTTCTCAGGCTAATCAAAGTAGTCACCCATCCGCTCTCTGACCACTTCCAGTGATGCTTGACTTTGGTGATCTAATCGGAATCGTGTCTTACTTGCTAGTGTGGGACACGGGGGTAATAAGGTTCATGCCAAAGTAATAGAACGCATGGATAGAAATGTTTTGCATGAAAAAAGCCAACTTGAACAGGAATGTGTACTAGGTAACAGAACTATCACGTAACTTGGCATTCAAGTCTGACAGACGATCATTAGTTAGTTAGTGTGGACCTATATTAGTACACAAAGTATCTAGTACTGCAATACCAGTGGTATCTTCAACCATAATTAGTTGAGAATCGCTAGCGTCCACAGTCTGGCAATCGTTTGCCTTATCCCCACCCCATAAGGGACAAATACCATTCGAAGTTTTAAGTGCGAAAGTTAATCGATCTAAGTATATTTTATCCGTTATGAATATGAGAGAATATACTAACAATATTTTCTTTTAAAAGATATCATAACCTTTATTCTCATTTAAAACATATTGTCCTTTGCTTACAGAACTTACTGCCTAACTTACTTACAGATTCCGATCCAATAAACTACAAGTATAATTGTATACACAGGTATCACTAATTATCAATTTGTTCTCATTTAATACATGTTGTCCTTTGCTTACGGAAAATTACTGGCTAACTTACTTACAGATTACGATCCGATAAAGTACAAGTATAGTTGTATACACAAGTACATATTATCACTAATTATCAATTTGTTCTAATTTAACACATGTTGTCCTTTGCTTACGGAACTTACTGGCTAACTTACTTACAGATTCCGATCCAATAAAGTACAAGTATATTTGTATACACAAGTACATATTATCACTAATTATCAATTTGTTCTCATTTAACATATGTTGTCCTTTGCTTACGGAACTCACTGGCTAACTTACTTACAGATTACGATCCGATAAACTACAAGTGTATACACAGGTGCATATTATCATTAATTATTAATTAATTATCATTTAATTACCAATTCGTTCTCATTTAAAACATATTGTCCTTTGCTATTGGCTAACTTACTTACAGATTACGATTCGATAAAATACAAGTGTAGTTGTATACACAGTTGCATATTATCATTAATTATCTTTGAGCAGAATCTCATTTAAACTATAAACCGGATTATTTTTCGTTACCCTGCACTTTAGAATAATCTGACATCAGATAAGTATCCAGCAAATTCAATCATTTTTTGTAACTAGCCATTGTTAAGAGAAACATAAAATTATTAAATATATATATATAGATTTAAAAATATTTGAAATTCATTTACAGCCATTTAAATTCATGACAATGCAGTTTTTTTTAAAATATATATATAAAAAAGAATTTATTTTATTCCGCTCAACTTTTCAATTAGGCTAGTTTGCGAACAATATTCTTTTAAGTTTAGTTTCGAGTGTTAAAATGTGGCTGACGGCATCTTTTGCAGCCGCATTAGTTAATATAGTTTTAAGTTATAGTTATCCAGATAACTTAACTAGTCTGTATCCAGACGATGCGAATAATCACAGTAAGTAAATTCATAATGTTTGAATAAATATATAGATGGACCATATATATCACCCGAATAGTATTATTGGCATTATTATTCATTGATTTTTAAGTTATTGTTATCTAAATATTTACGTTAGAGAGTAAAATTGGGTGCCTCTTCGGTTGATGACAAATTTCGTTCAGTTTTATTGGAAGCCAAGCACAGTAGTATGAATCAAAAACAAAAACCCGGGCAGAATTGAAAGCAGAAAATTAGGAAAAAATATTTTCTCTTGATCATAATTCTTTTTTGATATCAAAGAAAAATGTAATCACAAAGAAAAAATTTTGCTGTGATTTATTTCTACTTAAATAATAGGCTGAAATTACATTTTTTTTATTATCGTGATTTAAGGACAAAAGCAGCCGTTAACAATTTTGGAAAATTTTTACAACATAACTAATTTTTGACAATTTTTTTTTTTACCTTGCTAAAACATTGCCTTAAACAAAAGCAAATAAGCAAGTATTTGCCGCTCTTGGCGACCTGCTTGGTGCCCTTGTCAAAATTATCTTGTACAACATATAAACTTTAATGTTAACCAAGCATAGTTTTTAAACATTCTAAATTTTCAACCCCTCCTCCAATCCTAACACCTTAGTTAGTTTTAAACAATCTTAATCTTTTTACCATGCAGCTGTTACCCGCGGCTTTGCCTATGCGGAAGTATTTTGATTTCAATTTGAACTGTTTTCCAGAGATACACGCGAAATCATCAAAGTTTTTTATGTATAGTTTTAGTAATAATTTAAAGTCTGTCTGACGACCATTAAATTCCGCAAATCACCGAGTTCGGGACATTTCTGATCATAGAATGAAACTTATTTACAAATTCAGAAAAAGACAAATTAAGTAACATTTAAATCAATAAATCAAAATAGAAAAGCGCTTAAAGCAGCTAAATCCAAATTTGTTTTATTTTAATTTAAGAAGTCAGAAAAACAACTCCAGCATAAAAAGAAAAACATAAAAATTTAAAGATATGTGTGTTAGCAGCACAGCACTTCATCAGGGGACACACTGCCTAACACACAGGAGCTTTTCTGTTGTTAGTGTTGAAACCAAAAACTGCCCCGAAGCCCCATAATGGAAAGTCAAGTAAGAAAACGCAATTAGAAAAATTGAAGTGTAAATACAAAGATAAATAAATGACAAACAATCACAAAGTAAGTCTTAATAATGACTTTAAAGTACACAAAATAAGACCACAAATAAGAAAAATAAATAAAGATAAAGTTACAGTTAGAATAGCTACATCAGAATAACATATAAATTGCCAAATTATTAAGAAAACTTTGGAATAAATCAATTGCTGATCCCTTTTTTATTTTATTTATTTATTTATTCATTTATTTATTTCGTGAAAATCTGAAAAAATAAAACAGAAAAACATTCAATGAGTAAAAAATTTAAAAAAGGGGCTGCCATCTGGAGCATAAAATCCTAAATTTCACCGCATATGTTGGCATCAATAGCGGCCGAATTATTTGAAAGTCTTTCAAATATTTTGATTTAAAACATCATAATTACAGTAATTAAAAGGAAAATTATTATTCTGTAATGTAATCCTAAAATTTCGAATAGCTGAAAGAAAATATGTTCTATTATTACAAATAAATTTAAATCTAATAATTTGAACAATCAAAATATTTTTAAAAATCTTAAAGTAAAGGTTGGAATTAAAATGCGTTAAACTAATAACATTAAATTTGAAATCTCTTCTTTTATCGCATAATCCGATGAAAATTATTTGGTTATGAAATTTGATATCAAGATCTAAAAAATAAGCACAATTTCCATTTGAATTAGTTTTAATTAAATTTAGTTCCTTAGGATAAATATCCTTAATTAAATCAAAATCATTACAATCAAAAATAATTAAATCATCAATAAATCTAAATCCAATTAATAAATTATGTTGTAAAAATTTTTGTTCACAAAAATGCAAGAAAATATTAGCAAATGCATTTGAATATCTTGAATATGTCTGTAAAAACAAATACCATTAAAAAGATAATTTTCAAAAAAGTTTATATTACATAAATTTATCCAGTTAGCCTCATTAATGTTCTTATTATTCAAATATTTATAAAAAATTTCTAAACAAATATTCCTTAAACTATAGTTGGTATAGTCGTAAAAAGATTTTCAAAATCACATGTAAGAACAGAATAATATTATTGTAATTCAAATATTTAACAACGTCTTGGTTGTTATTAATAATAAAATGCTTATCATTTGAAATAATCTTATTTAAAATAATATTTAAATAATTAAAAAATATTTTTTCCAAAAACGGAATTAAAACAGCCAGTACTGCAAGTTACAAATCTAAATTTATCCGGTGTTTTGCGGAATTTAATTGTAGGAAATAAATAAGAACAATTAATGATATTTATTTTTAAACCTATTTTCTTCCAATATCCGATTATCAATTTCTTCTTTAGAATTATTAATTTTGACAAAAGTATTATTGTTATCATATTCTTTACTCATTAAATGTCTAAAAAATGTTTTGCAAATAAAGCAAAAATTATTAGAATCTTTGTCAACAACACATATAATAAAATTATATTTTAATTCCTTAATGGATTAAATAATATCAGAATTCAAATAAGAACCAGAGTATTTTATATTATTGTTCAAAAATTTCATTTTAAAATCATTTAAAATACAAAATTTCCATTTACTAAATCCCTCTATAAGCCAATTAAATTTTCTTGAGCATTTTGCAATAAAACAATCTAAATTCTTACTGACTGAAGCAAGAATACTATTTAAGTGATATTTTTTCCTTGATCTAAACTTAGTCCCAAGTCCCATGAGAAATTTCAAATCTTTATTTCTGATTAGGTTAAGGTCACCTGTGAATATGTTCTTAAAATCATGATTAACAAAATCTTTAAAATGCTCTAGCTCAGATATACAAATATCCTCTAAATCATTTAAAGTTTTACAACAGATATTATAATTACAAATTTTCGTCTTACAATATCTAAAACAAACAGAAACTCCGATTTTATCTACAATTGGGAAACAATCAATAAGTTTATCAACAGTCATAGGTAGTAAACCTCTTTCAAAATTTTTATCAAGAAAATTAATAACACAAAATTCTTTTTTAAATTTTTAAAAAATCAAAATTGCTGACTTCAAGTTTAAATTTAATAAGATCTAATACTATGTATTTAAACTCAGGGGTAGGAAATTTTACAATTTTTAAATGTTCTTTAATCATTCATTTCAACACTAATTTTTTTTACTAAAAAGAAGCTCCAAATCTTTTGAATGCAAAATTCATTGACATCCAATAATCACAAAGTTTCAAAAAGAACCAGATAAAATTTATTTTTATCTTTACTTTTTCTTTTACTTCTGCATCTTCACAATTTACTTGAAAAATTATTATTAAAAGTGCTCAATTTATTATAAATGTGCACATTATTTAATCCAAGTTACCTTCTCCATTTAATTTACTATTTAGATTACAGGGGTTTAAAATTTTTAATTTACAGATAAAAATGTTTTTATAATCTTATCTTAAATTAAAATCATCAATATTTTTAAGTATAAAAATATTAATAGCTTTAAAAGAATGCTTTTGGAAATAAACAAATTCAATATCGTGTTTATGAAAGTTATTTATGACTGATCCATGATTATTAATTCGTTTATTTAACTCAGTACCTGCTTGCCGAATATATTTAAGTGAACACGTTTTACATTCTATAAAGGTAAGTAATATTTTTCTGTTTGCAAAAAATAAGTTGCTAGAAACTGGAATTTGGTGTGATATAAAGAAATCCGTAATTTTACTATTCATATAAATAAATTAGTCCTGAAAAGGAAAGATTCATAAATACATAATTAAATATTGGGAAACATAAAAAACTAGCCATTACAGGAACAGGAACAGAAACTCCATAAAATATCCATATCATTAATTAAATAAAATATTAAATGGAATTATATAATAAATTCCAAACGATTCAGGACATTTCAGTATAGTAGGCAGCAAAAGAATTTTACTTTATAACCGTCGTTGAACAGCCGACCCTAATTTGGGTTTACGACTACTAATGTTCAGCTCCGTAGCCTTGTAATTTTGAACCCAATCCAAAAGACAAGGGAACTCCTGGATCAAGTTTTGGGATAAATTTGCCTGCGTGGAGGACTTTTTGATGAAAGACAGACTACATGCAGAGGAAAACCACGAAAAACTCCCACGTTTAGCCTGGCTGACAAGGTACTCTAACTAATGATCCGTCTACCATTGAATATTATACATCAGCAATGTGGTCGGTGCGAAATGCGTATCGACCAGCCATTGCTGGGATTCGAACCCGGCTCAATTCATTGGGAAGGCGAACGCCCTCTCCCCTGAGCCACGACGGCTCAGCAGAAGTATTAAAATTATTTTAATTTCTGTCATGAGATAAGAGGGGAAAAAACTCATCCCAATGCTCCATTACGGGCTGCATTACTTCTTCATGTACCTCTAGAGCCATACCTTGAGAATCGTATTTTTATATATTATTGCTAGAAGAAATATGTTAAATGTACAGGAAAAGCCCGTCAGCTGGTGTGCCAGTATAAAACAGTTTATGTCCAGTCAACGTCCAAATTCGAACCTGGGTCACCTCACTTGGAAGCGAGTGCTCTGTCTCGTGAGCCACGCAGCTCTCTTTGATTATGAAGAAAAATCTTAAACCGTCTTTATCTTAAAAGTCTTACGTATGGAAATCGTATTTAAGGCAATCAATACGCTTAAAACTATATTTAACCATACCTTACAAAAATGTCTGGCAATTTAATTTACAGAGAAATAATATCTAAAGACAAATGATAATCAAGTAGAATATCAATTCAGCAATGAAGTTGAATCACAATTTAATTCATACGATATTCAAAACGGTACAATAATTCCTGAAAAGTACGAACCAGTATAGAAAATATTCGTAAAATAATATGAAAAAAGATAAATTTATCTTACCGCGAAACTGTACGGCAAAACTAAAATTCGGTTTGACATTTTTAATCCGTTATAATAAAAGAGAAAAATAGAATTTCGTAAAAAACAGTTTTAAACCGTTAAATATACGGAGAAAGTCTGTAAGAAAAATTAATTAAATAAAATAGGATTTTTTTTCAGCCCGAGAGTAAAGATTAAAAACAGGAAAAAAAAGTCTTTAAGCAATTTTTTTCTGTAAAAATTATGTTTATTTTATCTGTAAAGTTTACATTTATTTATTACAGAGCAATTTCTGTATAATTCACTTTTGAAAGTATAATATTTAAAAATAATAACNTATAAAGTTTTAAACCGCTAAATATACGGAGAAAGTCTGTAAAAAAATTAATTAAATAGAATGGGATTTTTTTTCACAGCGAGCGTAAAGATTAAAAACAGGAAGAAAAATTACGTTTATCTTTAAAAAAAAAATTCTGTACAAATTATGTTTTTCTTATCTGTAGAGTTTACATTTATTTATTACAGAGCAATTTCTGTATAATTCACTTTTGAAAGTATAATATTTGAAAATAATTACTTTTTGTTATAATTCTTATCAAAACAAGAACATGTGCAATGTCGGAAAGTAAAATGGCGTCTTTCTAATGACCCGTTTTTCCCTCAGTGAATTTCACGACGAAATGTTTTGGTGACTTGGGATGTTTCTATACCGGTCCTCCCTGGTATCATCCTCTGTACAGGCCTATAACTGTACCACCACAAGAGCTACATACGGAGTTTCTGTTGCATACACGTTCCAATAAAAAGAAGCCCTATCATCTGAAACCAACACCAGAATCACTGTCAAAGTCTCCTTTCGAAGAGAATTCAACTTTAAAAGTATTCATTCATGGATATGCAGAAAATACAACTGTGTTTACAGTAAGAAAATTCCAAAAATTTGATGCATTCAAAATTGATCTATGTATTCAATATTGCTCTATGTTTAAATTTCTCCATGTATAGTTGTGTGAGACGTCCATAGGGCGGTGAAGAAATGTTGAAATAGCTAATGGAAAAATTTAATCATGGGTATAAGACACATTAATTTTATGGTAAAAATCGGTTTCATAAAAAAAATTTCATATAATGTCCCAATGCGGTTTTATCTATAGTAAAATTTTACATTACACTTTTTTCATATATGCATTTGAAAAACTTGCCAAACGCGTATGGTAAACGTTCGCCATTCGATAATGGCAAACTTTTTCCATAGGAGTATCCTATGTTAATTTTTAGATTCTCTATTTTAAGATTCACGAGATATGGTGAAATACGCAAAATGTAAAATTAACATTAAGAGGTCCCCTAACATTAAGACATCCCCTAACATTAAGGGGTTAACTTTGGACCGCGCTCCTTTTCAAATTATTGGGACCATACTTTGAGAGTTATAAATCTAAATCCATTGAAAAAAAGGCATCTTTATTCAGAGAAAGTATAGTTTTGTTTCTAATTTCGTATTTTAAAATATCGTCTGAACTAATTAGCATGTTTTAGGTAAAAAAAAACTCCTGAACCATTAAGATTGAACGTGAAAATCCGATTATTAGATCAAAAGTTATTCAGGGTGATTAGTTTTTTTAAGCACTGTACACAGTTCTCATACTACATGGAATTAATTGGAAGAACATAATATACAGAATAATGATGGGGGTAATTTTGTTATGACATCATGACATTTAAATACAACTTAGAAAATATTTTGCTGAATTTTGGCTTAATAGAGTATAGATACGACAGCAAAATGTTAAAGCCTCGTACCTTTAGAGTTCCGTTTTAGTTTCAGGGGTTATGGAAAGAATTCATTCACCATATATTCTTCGGATGCACACTTTTTGTGGCCGAAACTAAAATCTTTAAAAGAGCAAGATTACTACGAAACATATTAAATGAGTATTTAACTCACATAATGTTTTCATGAACGCTTCAAACTTTAATAACATCAGAATGGCAGAGCATACGAAAAGAGGACTTTATAAGTTGTTAACTGAAACATTTTTGCAGCAGATAATAAAAGTGCATCACATATTAGGTGAAGATTACTACGAAACATATTAAATGAGTACATAATTCACATAATATTTCAAGGAAATGAATAGCCACACCTTGTGCCATATTGATTTATATACAAAAATTATACATTTTTTATTTTCAATCCCATTCTCATTTATTTGGATTAACAGGGTGAATACTCACGGCTAGATAAAAATATTGGAGTATGTTGTACCATCATTTCGTTTAAACTTGCCAAACTATTGCTGTTGTAGTTGTAAGCCATTAAGGCAAGGGCAGCGATTGTTCTTGTTTTCCAGTGGCAAGATTTCGACTTCTGCCGCGCTTGTGCGTCACGCCCATTTATAAGACACATTTATAAGATACTTTTATACATCCATTCATTCATCCACAGTTCGTAATTTTGACCTAAAGCAGAGATCGACCAATCTCTAATTCAGTACCTACAAAGGCATAATTTGTTATGGAAACATGGAGAACTTTGTGACCCGACTGATTTAACGAGCACCATTCAATTTTTTGGCCTCAATAGGGCGCCGTGTTCCACGATTCTACCCTGAAGTTGATAACGCCATATTCTCGTTCAATTTGAACTGAAACGTAGCGAAACTTATCACCTTATTATGATCGGGGAAAGTTTAAAAACTATTGAGTTAGACACTAAACTGATTTTTCTGAGAGAGTTGATGAAGTAACTTTTAACGCAAGAGCCTATGGAGGTATTGTATAAAATCATTATTAGAGACAGTAAAGTTATAGTTAGAACTAAGAAAGAGTATATCCCTTTAGCCATACTTAGAGCTGAATCTGTATGGCAACTACGCTAGACTTGGAGCTGAATCTGTATAGCAACTACTCTGGAATTGGAGCTGAATTTGTATAAAAACTGCGCAAAGCTTGAAGCAAAATCTGTATAGCAACTACGCTAGTCTTGAAGCTGACTATGTGTGGCAACTACGCTAGACTTGAAGTTGAATTTATATAGCAACTACGCAAGACTTGAAGCTGAATCTTTATAGAAACTACGCAAGACATGGAGCTGATGAGTGCGGGACAGTGCAAAACCTTCATGAGTTGAAAGAAATCTTACGGTAATAACACTATTCCATGTGAATATAATACCTGGTCCAATTGCAATATTATAGATTAATATGAAGGTCTGCTATTGGGACATGTTTTAAAAATACAAAGTGACGACGAATTTCTTCATTTTAAGCTTCTAAGAACACTATTTCAGTTATACATACATAGTAAACTGTAGGTCCACATTGTGTACCCCATATGGGACCTAAATTTAAGCAATCATACCCCTTTTCAACTGGTCATCTCAGCTAAAGCTTCATACCCAGTTTCAAGGGGTGCTAGGTGGCTTCATAATTTGTTCATCGCAGAGCTATTACAAAAATGTGATAAATTATCTAACCTACAAGACATAGCATTTTCAAACGCACATTTAATATTTTACAACTTTTTCACTAATTTTGCATTCGAAAGTTTGACCAGTTTGCGATTAGCTACAGCCTTTACCGAAGTTCCCTGTCTGATGTCAATGAAAGTTTTAATCATTTCTTGGTCATTAAACAGAATATAACGGAAATTCCGACCATTTCTGACAAGCAAGACGAAACAACACTACAGAATAAAAGTACTAATGATCGATTAGTTATATTAAATAGATAGTGTCATTTTCATAGAACTATATATGCTGAAAAGCATTGAAATACGTTTGAAAGTAAGACATTTTCGAAATATAACGTCAAAAATGTGCGGTAATTCAAAGGATGCATGACCACTACGGCCTCGAAAAGAGGGGCTTGAGACTACTTCAAATGAGGTTTTAGGCACTATCGCTCCTTTCTATAAAGCCGTATATCAAGCAACTAATGGATCGATTTAATGAATTATAAATTCAATGTGGAATAAAATCAAAACTTTAGAGAGCTAAAAATCTTTTAGCAAGTGCCAACAGTCTGCGAGGCAAGGTTAAATCCAATTTTACCTTTTGATTTTTTTTATATATATATAACAGTCGTTGAACAGTCGACCCAATTCTGGGTTTACGACTACCAATATTCAACTTCATATCCTCTTAATTTTGATCCCAATCAAGAAGACAAGGGAGCTCCTGGATCAGTACCCCCAGAGGTACTGATTTGTTATGAGAACTTGGAAGACTTTGTGACCCCGAACACCAGTCGATCGTGCACCAGTCAACATTCAATACACGGGGATTTTTCGGCCGGCTGTTCAAACTCCCGTTCTCACAAACACGAGTCCAACGTCCTATCAACTAGGCTATCCCCCCCCCACCCTTTCTTGGACTTGGCCACGCGGTAGAAATTCTTGAATGCTTTTGAAATCCTGACTGCCATTTGGCAAATTCAATTAATAGGCGCCATGTCCGTCGATGTGCATCACTTCAATGTGACTCTGAGATAGCTCTTTACCGGAGTGATAGAGAACTTTTAAGGCAATGATTTATGTCACTTCTTCTAATTATTTTATTTCTTCCTTTCTTTTTGTTTTTGTATTTTTTTAATATTTTTTCCATCCCTTGCCATTGGCAATAGAATAAAAAGGTATAAAAGTAGCGTAGTCATTCACACTCTTAACTCACAGACAACACTTACATCGTCTGTAGCGACTGTTTACAACAGTAAAAACTCCAAAGGACACATTAACTGTCTTCCCTCTATGGTGTACAGTTTGTCTATAGTAAGAACTCCCTCCACCACTAAGTCTAAAGCAGTTATCTGTTATCGAAAACAAGAAAGAGCCCATTTGAAAGAAAGGAGCTTCTTTCTCCTCTGATTCCTGTTCTCTCGCCGACTCCAGTCAAAACCTGTCTTGCATATTAACCCAACACCTCTACTTGAAATAGGTCTCGTAACCTAGGTACTGACACTGATTCAGAAAAGTAGCGAAGGTAGTTCTTTCCATAGACAGATTATAAAAAGCCCTTAATTCATCTTTTTTCTTCCCATCAGGGAATAGTAAAAGAGTTCCTGAAGTACTCCTCCTTCAACCTAATCCTTGTTGACTGGTCACGTGATAACAAACCACCTTTACATCAAGCAGTTGCCAACGCCAGATTGGTCGGAGCGTATACAGCAAAACTTCTTCATTTCATAATGGTTTAGTATAAATTAAACATCTTCCACCCTTTTAACTTTTTACATTTAAATGTATTTATTTCGCAAAGATTTCTAATTGGGAAAAGAATTTGTAAAAGAACAACTAAGTAATATTTTACAAATCATTCTCACATTTCCGTGTGGTTGAAAGCATAGAGCAATAACTAATTCAGTTTAGTCTTCAAATAGTAATGTGTTTTTCCAATGTAACTGTAAGAAAATATGCTGTGTAATCCACATTTTCTTGCGTCTATTCTTATAAAGCCAATTTTCTTAAGGATTTGGTGGAATGATAAGTTCTAGTAATATGTAATATATAATAATAATATAATAATATACAATATTATAATGTATAATAATAATATAATAATATACAATATTATAGTATAAAATAATACTATACAATATTATAATGTATAATAATATAATACAATCATAATAATATTTCATTCTAATGTAATATTTTATATGCTGCATCGAAAGCAAAAAGTCAAAATTAAACTTTAATTTTATATTATGAAACACGTTATCTTTATAAATAGATATTAATTTTTATATAATGTTTTGTTTAATGCAAGAACCTTATTTCTTACGAAACCATAGCATTGTTAACAGTTTTATTTTATTATTCTTTTTAAATCGTTATAAGAATTTTTTCAAAGGAAGTGCTCCTTTGAAATGATAAAGAAAACAAAAGGCATTATAAACTAAGTCTGGAACGTTTGCGAAAAAAGAAGAAAATATTGTTAATAAACTATTGTAAGTGAGACACACGTTTATGTATACACAGGGCCAGCGCTAAGAACTCGCCACCTTACCAAATGCGATAAAATCATAAATTAGGCGTAAAATATTTTTTTGGAGAAAGATTTTTCTGCCAAGATGAAAAAAATATATTACCCTCGTTCCGGTCTATTGAACAAATCCAGCATTTTTTATTCGAATTCAGTAATTTCCGCTAGATATGACGCGTAACCAATTAGAATTATATTTATTACAGATAATTTAAGCATAGCAACAAGAAAGATTATGTAAGCATTAGATAAACTACCGTAAAATATAAATTAACACGTTCGTTGCCGGATCACGCAATATCGCGCAATGAAATTAGTGCCTAGAGTTTGTGCCAATAAAACAGATTAAGTGATAGTAAGATACATCTTATCATCTCACTATTTTTGCAGAAAATAGGTTTTCTCCTGACAATTAGATATACAAAAACACGACAACATAATGTTGCTTTGTCCTTATATTATGTTGCTTTGTCCTTACATAATATCCTTATATTACTGCTCCAATAAATTATCAAAAATTAATCCTAACCTATCCCCATCTATTCTATACATCAAAGACGATAAAATATCTACATTTTTCATCCTCTTTCCCATTCATTGTTCATTTATCTCTTCCCAACTAATAAAATGACTTTTGATTTGGATTTGCAATTTATAAAATAATTCAATTTATAGAAACATTTATATTTTGATACGAAGTTTCCTACGGGGAAAAAACAGTCATTAAAAATTGTTAAGACTTGCCCTTGGCTGAGATTTTTGAAATTTGGCTAATAATTTTGATAATTGGCTAATTTACTGGATTAATAATTGGAAGTCCATAGCATGGGGCATTGTATAAGGAACGCAAAAACTCTTAAGATACTTGTTCTTCTTACTCAACTAGTTCTTTTAGTCAAGTTCATCCATTTTTATTCGTAGTCTCAAACTGGATTGAAAGCAGAAGACATTCATGTCATTGGACACAGCGTCGGAGGTCAACTTGTTGGTTTTGTTGGTGAAAGAGTTCACAACTTGGGCAGAATCACAGGTATGTAATTAAAAGTTGCATCGGAAGAATTTTCTGGTTACAGAGCCAATTCGATGCTTTTTTTTCCGAGTCCCACAGTGAAGTCACTGTTCCCAGTAGAACACCAAAGCAAAGAATATAGAAAAGAGAAAAGTCCAGCTCTTTAAATATGTAACTAATTCGGAGAACTGCTTGGTGCTGTATGCTATACCAAGAAAACAACTTACAGAGTGAGCAACAGACTCAGATTCAACAGAGCATCATATGTACTAAGATCCAGGGCATGCGCATAAGTGACTGTCAAAAGATGCGTCATCTGTGGACCGGTTGTTGGGCAACTCTAAATGCATGATTAGGTGCACTGCTTCCCGCCAACGGCCGTTTTATTCCTTCTTTTTATGTCAAAATGTGTTAGCAGATCTGATCAACATGGATGATATAAATGGTTTCGCAAAGGAATATATTTATTAACAGTACAGCACAGTTTATAAATAGAGTAAAAATGTAGAGCTGACCAACAATGCATGGTGTTTCCGACAATAGGGAGCGCTGCAAGCTGTATACCGCTTATACTTCCTGGTTACTGTTTCCGGTGTATTTCAAAGCCGGTGTAGGCTCACAACGTGATCATTGTGTTTTAAGATTCTTGCAAACGTGGTATTTGATTACTTATTTATTAATTCACAATGAATTCGAAGTGGCTCTTGTTGTGTCATATAATAGTAGTGTTAAGTAGTAGTAACATGTCGTTTGATCAATAATAAATATGTAAACCTAACATATGAAAAAAAAATCGTCATAAAACACTTCCCACCTTGTGAATGATGTATGCCAACTTTCAAATTTAAACCTGAATTTTAATGTATAAACTTGATCTTGCTCCTCGAACAATATGCTAACACTAACGTAAGATGGTGCACAGCTTGCAACACGAACAAACAGTAATAAACAAACGGAAAGAGGCCAAATCAAGACTGCCAAAAAAGCAAGTGATTCAAAATCTAGCAACCATGTCACCTTTTTTAACAATATATTTCTAAATAACTAAAACAAATTTTCACTTCAAACTCGCCAGAATTACATAATAACATTAATATCTTATGAAATACGGCAGATTTGAGCTCAGAAATTATCTAATTTATTTCTTTTATTGAAAAAAAAATTATCCGTTTGAAAATATCGCCTCGCAGAATAACATGTAGTAAGCTGCTGCAAACTTCCTAGCCGGAACTAGAGCAGGCATACAGCTCGAGATTGTTATTGTTTACATTTATACTGAAAACACCATCCATAAATAGAAAGAAATTCTTTTCTTCTTCTCCCTAATACCAGTAGTGGGGGAGAGGAGAGAAGGTTTGAAACCTGTTTCAAGAACTTCAGCTGCTGTGCCCCTAAATGTTGTTTTTTCCTTTACACGCAAGGACCACGCCAAACCTTGGGGGACAGGTTTGCATTATGTCTACGAAAGCTAGTCTTCTTCCCATATGTTTATTCCTTGACCAAAGTCAAGCATCACTGGTAGCGGTCAGTGAGCGGATGATCACCTCTTTGATCAGCTTGCATTGGGACCGAGGGTGTCCGGTATGGGTCCTTAAGTTGTTCTACCGTAAAGTACTTTACTTCGCTCTCAGGTTGTTCGGCTGGGGAGTCATCCCTTCCTTAGAGGATCAAAATTGTGATTGCCATGTTTTCGGATCATCCTCAGGGATGCTTCATAGACCGCCACTAATAACCCACCATGCAGCTCTAAATACAATGAAAATAAAGTACTAGTGCTATTTTTTTTTTCGATATGATAAGTTCTTATACTTTTCAACTAGAGTGCCTAAATTCGAAGTAAAATAATAAGATGATTTCTAACCAATTTCCATTGAGTTTTTTTTCTTCTTCTTTTTTTTTTTTTCTTTTTGACAAAACATAGCTACTACACATATGTTTAAGCCTTGTCATCATTTTTCAAAGAATCGAATTTGAATTGATGTTTTTAGGGCGAAAAAAAGATCATTGGTTGGTTATTATCATAAAATATATTTTTTTTGTGCGTAAATTAAAATAGTTTCGATAGAGCTAGTATTTTATTATTTTTTTTATTCATGAACAAAATGATTCCTCGTGCACCACTGAAAAAGTACAACACGAGGCTTACAGGCGTAAGTATGGTTGCAGACAATGTAGGATATTTAAACAGAAGTACATACTAAGAGGGCATGTAAAATTTAGAAAAGAAAAATAATAATAATAATTAAAAAAAAGCATTTACAAAAAGGATGAGAAAAAAGAAAAATCAAAATAGTACACAAAACAAAGTGATTTATAAATTTGCATTCAAAACTGAATCAATGAATTTGCAGAAAAGTTTGAAGATGATTCTGCTTCCCATAAAAGTGCGAAGAGGGGGAGGAAAGTTAATATTGAGCGACTTTAAGGCAATTATTAAGTTTTTTCTATTTTTCTCAAAATGTGAGCATTTTACAATGAAATGCTCAACGTCTTGTGTACCTCCAATATTGCAATCACATAGATCACTGGAACTTAAGCCAAATCTTTTCAAATATGCCTTGAAGTTGCCGTGTCCTGTGAGAAATTGCGTCACGTGAAAGTGGCAGAAAAAATTTTGGTTTTTAAGTCTTTGATTAACAGATGGAAAGAAGAGTTTAGTCAGTGAAGCATTTGTAAAAGCTTAATATTGTTCATTCCTCACAGTTTGAACTTTATGCCTGGCTGCAAGTCTAAAAAAAGATTTTGGGGGACTCATATCACAAATGGAATAAAGATTAGTCTCTTGTTTCGCCAGAAAGTCAGCTAGTACAAGTATGAAATTTATTGCCAGTTTGATAAGTGTTTGTACATTTTTAGTAGATTTCATTGAAACACTTTTATAAAATTTGATAATTTCATACTTTTTTATGAAACTTCATGTAAGCTCATAAACTTTTATAATATTTGATAAGTGTTTGTATATTTTTATTAGATTTCATTGAAAATTTTTTAAAAATTTGATAAGTTCTTACACCTTTATATAATTTGATGATTACATATTTTTAATGAAATTTCATAAGTTCATAAACTTTTATAACATTTGATAAGTGTTTGTACATCTCAATTAGATTTCATTGAAATACTTTTATAAAATTTGATAATTTCATTAAACGGTTCACGGACGCATCAGGAGGTCTTATTTTTTCATGAAACTTGATAAGTTTATAAACTTTTATAATAATTAATGAGTGTTTATATATATTTTTTAATAAAATTTCATGTGTTTTTACACTGTTGCATAGTTTCATAAGTTCTACACCATTATAAAATTTTCAATGCTTTTACAATTTGATTATTTCTTACACTTTTATGAAAGTTGATAGTTTCATACCATTTAATAAAATTTGATAAGCTTATACGCTTTTCGAAAATTTGATACGTTTCCTAACTTTAAGAATATTTATAAGTTCTTAACTTTTATAAAGTTTAATAAGCTATTTATTTATTGTATTTATACAATTTTATAAAATTTGAATAAGTACTTGAATATAATTTAGTAAGTTCGCACATTTTTCTTTTAAAAAAATTGATAAATTCAAACACTTTCATATTTTACTGAAGTTTGATAAGTTCATACCCCTTATTAAAATTTGACAAACTCTTACACTTTTATAAAAATTGATAATTTCGAGCACATACATAAAATTTTGTAACTCGTTTTAATTTATTTTTTAGCCTTGGATCCAGGAGGTCCATACTTTGACAATGCACCCAATGAAGTCTGTTTAGATAGGAGTGATGCTATCTTTGTTGATGTTTTACAGACGAACTCTGGATATAGTGCTTATACTGGTAAGAACCATACCCTCACATCATACTCTGCAGACTTTCATAGGCTGCAGATATGCTCCAACAGAGTTCCGAGACCGAATTCTTAAATCTTCCTAAAAGGGTTCTCTTTTTCCATCCAACCATAAATTCCTCCAATTGAATATAGGGTTAAATGACACAGGTGCTGGAATCAGCTATATTACGCAAAACCTAAGGACGGGATAGCCAAATTGGGAAGACGTTGGCTCCATGCCCAAAAGGCCGTGAGTTCGAACCCCACCGGCAGAAGTAGTAAATGGTGACTGATGCACGTTACATCACAAATTCCTCCATGTTCCCAAAACAAATCATACCTCAGGGGGTACTGAATTGGAGATTTTTATTTCATAACCGTCGTTGAACAGCCGTCACATATTGTTCAACACAGTAGCCTTGTAATTTTAAACCTAAACCAGAAGACAAGGGAACTCTTGGATTAAGTATTGGGAGAAATTGGCCTTCGTAGAGAAAAGCGGGTTAGTTCCATCAAAAAAATCCTCCGCGAGGGCAAATTTGTCCCAATACTTGATCTAGGAGTTCCCTTGTCTTCTGAATTGGGTTCATAATTACAAGGCTACTGGTTTGAACATTAGTATTCGTAAACCCAAAAAATTGAGTCGACTATTCAACGACGGTTATTAAAAAAATCATTTAAAGCTTGGAAAGAGAAGCCGAATACAGATTTGAAAACAGTGACGTGAAAAAACTCAAAATACGTTGAGATATTTCACACAACAGAAAACAAATAAACGTATTGGGAGATAAAGTATTGGGAGAAATTTGCCTTCGTGCAGGACATTGAGGAGAAAATGCGGACAAATTGTTCACAATACTTGATCCAGGAGTTCCCTTGTCTTCTGGATTGGATTCAAAACTACAAGGTTACGGGTTTGAACATTAGTAGTCGTAAACCCAAAAAATTGGTGGACTATTCAACGACTGTTATTAAAAAACATATCATTTTAAAGATACCCTGTAGTTTGGGAAGAGAAGCCGATTGCAGATTTGAAATCAGAGACGTGAAAATACCTAAATCCGTTAAGAAATTTCACGCAATAGAAAACAAACATTTAAAAAAAATTATTCTTCTGCGTCATTCAACTTGGTTTGCATATTCTATTTCAATTTTTTACGGCATCGGAACCCTAAATGAAAGAGCATTTTCGGGGGTGAACTCAAGTTAATATATAAAATTTATTAGAGGCAGTGAACTTACTAACCAAACAAAGAATAGTAGTTATTTTGATAATATTTAACGTGAGGAATAAAATTGTTCTCAATCATCGTCTTATCAATAAAACTTTTTAAATGATATGATTATATGTCAAACAGTTGAATTCGCAAGCCTCGCAAATGTAGTCTAGCTCAGAATTCGCTTTTGGTGCATGCATTTATTGAAAATAAATAAAATATTATGGTTTTTGAAAAAGATTTGTATTAAAAGTTGAGAATAGTGATCAGAGGAACATAATTCGTTGTTCCTGAATGGGTCATTTTATTTTGAATAGGAAATTCGGAAAAGTAATTTTGCTTTATCTTTTTTAACTGACATTTTACTTAAATAATTTTATAAAAATTACCAAAATATCAAATAAATTATGATTTATCGTTTAGATATAAGCATAATGACAGTTTTCCAAAATCATTACTGACTTAAAAAAGTTTAAACTCTTGGAACCCCTATCACTTTTCCATGGAACCCTAGCTAATCCTTCGAATATATTATCTATGTGAGGAACGAAATTTTCCCCGGAAAGTTTTCCACTGTGTTTTTTCGGAAAATTTTTTGGTATATTTTAATCTGACATAATTGCACTTTATGTATTTTTTATTTGTCGATTTCAATAGCATTTTAATAAAAACTACAGGCTTTATAGTCTTAACTTAGCACAGAGGTAAAATTAATAGCCTTTTTTTAAAGAGTCAGTTGGATATTTGATATTTTTGATTTTGATGAAAATTTGTAGGATGTGTTTTTTTATGCAAAAGTATTCTAATCATGCTTCATTTCTTCATTTTACGAAGAAAAAAAATTTGGGGAGAAGAGGCTCAAAACTGAAGATGTTCTAGTTTTTTGAAGAAAAAAATTCATCTAATTACATACGGTACCATTGTGGCATTACTGCTTTCAAACTAAATATTAAGACAGAAATACTTTCAGTAGACCTTTGTAGCACAGGTCATTCAAAAATTCTTTAAGAGGGTAAGTGCAAATAATAGTTTTACGTAAAAAACACATCCTAAAAATTTCAGCAAAATCAAAAACGTTAAGTATCCAACCTTGCCTGATTTGCTAGATTTTTTTTAAATGGCTCTTAAGTTTGACTCTATATTGCTTAAGATTTGTCATATTGCTTAGTTTGCAACTTATAAAAAGTCAATTTTCTTTATCCTATTTCACAATAAAAGAGAATCTCAGAAAATAAACTCATTTCATTCATAAACAAAATAATAAGATAATGGCAGAAGAAAGAAGATAGTACCATTGTTCTAGCTGCTGCACTTATGAAGGGGAGAAGATAGCACAATTGTACTAGCTGATGCAGTTATGAAGGGAAGAAGATAGCACCATTGCAGTTACAAAGAGAAGAAGATGGCTCCATTGAAGTAACTGCGGCAGTTAGAAAGGGAAGAAGATAGCACCATTGTACTAGTTGCTGCATTTATAAAGGAAACTCCTCCTGTTAATGGCATTAGATTGAAAAAAAAATATTTTCTGTCAAGTGATAAGCAATCACAATGCATAGCTGCCAACACAGACAGGCAAAAAATCTTGTAGATTTCATGAAATATAAATTTCATGATAACTGTTGCGTAATGTACTAAATATTTTACTCATGGGTAAATTTAGGGATTTTTATGGTCATTAAAAAAAATGCAATATTTTCCAGTTATGACAGACTTTGAAATGCTATGTATTCTGTTTACTCATGATTTAATAAATAGGCATAATTCGTCAAAGATAGGTAAAAAAGACTTTTTTAATTCATTTAAAAAAGGAGTTTTGAACAATTAAAAAAAACTGAACAATTTAGAACAAAAAAAGTTTTAAACTGATTTCTATGAATGAGGCTCGTTTCATTGTGTATTAGTAATACGTATTTAAATATTCAAACAAGCAATAATCTGTGCAAAAATGCTATTTCAATAGTTTTTTTAGGAAACTTATTCAAATTAGGGAATTTTCTAAATATGCACTAAAACCGGGAGAAGCCGGCAAAATCCAGTAGTCTACTGGAAAATCCAGTTGAGTAGGCTGGTATGACAATGTTATACTACCAATTCTGATTCTGAACATAGGAAGCATCTAGTTAAGGATGCATCTAAGAAAGCTCCTAGTAAAGGAACCAAACATTGGAACGTTACTTTTTAAAAGTAACAAGTAAAAGTACAAGCACTTTAAGCAAAAGTAACGATTAAAAATTAAAAAGTCTTGATTTTAAAAAATAACGAGTAAAAAGTACAAGTACAAGACAAAAAAAGTAACAATTTCGAAGTAAATTTCGAAGGAATCGAAAATTCAGATTAACCCTAAATTTCATAAAAAATGTAACAAAAAAAATTTTTTTAAGAATTTAAAACGCAATAAATATCAATTTAAATTTATAAAACTTTAGAAGGCAAAAAAAAATTTACAAAATTCATAGAAAAAGTGAACGTTGAAATTATTTAAACACAAAACCAGAAATTAAAATTCAATGTTCACAAATGTCCCCTTCCCTTTTATTCTTATGTTTTATGAGTTTCAAATTATGTTAATTTTATAAATAACAAATCATAGGAAATTTTGCTTTTTCTTTCGGAATTTGTTTCTACAAATTCCGAAATTTCCAGATAATTAGAGCATTATAATGTATATATATATCAAATAATCTTGATGCTGACAGGATAAGAAAAGTGTTTAGAGAAAAATTGCGATCAATATCGTATTATTATTTCTTTTTTATCACAAGTTTTGGATTCAATAAATTGATCCTATCGCATTCTTCGCTCTTCACGAAATGCGTCAGCATCGTTTATCAAAATAAAAAATTCATTTTACTTTTTATTGAGAAATATACAGTTTTTCACGTTTTCATTTCAAATATTCATAGGTCATTTAATAACTTAAAATATTTATTTATTTATTTGTTGAGAAATATGCAGTTATTTCTACATATTTTGTTTTCAATTTAGATATTCGCAGATTAATATAGTAAGTTCATAGATTCAATTTAGATTTTTTTATTAAAACATCTATGCATAATAGTCAATCAAAAATTATATTTAAACTTTTCACCTTAAAATAAGATTAAAGACTTTTAAATTACAGATTCTATGCCTGAATATATCAGAGTACATCAAAATAAAATCCTGGATACTCAGATACTTTCAAGTATCTTTTAAGTATGCTTCAAAGTATCCAGGGCTTAAGAGGAAAATACTCCTGTTGTGCTTACTTGTAGCCTCCAATGAATGAGAGCTTAACTTTAGAATATCTTATTAATTTAATAGCTTAGATAGTACCCCAGAAAATTTTCCATTTTATAATTTTCAGAAAAAAAAATATATATCTCTATGGGGTAGCTACTTATGATTTGATCTATAGCTGTTATAATAAAGATAGAGCAACACCGTAGCAACCAGTTAAAGAAGGGAAAAAAACTTTTTTTCCAGATTTTCACTCGAGATTTATGAAATAAATTCCTTTAAATTATCTCTTTCAGGCATTGGTGAAGGTCCGGTTATTGGGCATGCTGTCTTCTCGATCAACGGTGGTCGTCATCAACCCGGCTGCGACTACAAACCTGCCATTAAACGTAGGTATTTCATTACAGCCGCTTTTAAAGAGTTATAGGCGCACACTAAATCTGTCAGGGTCACCAAGTCCTTCAAATTCCCATAACAAATCAGTACCTCTGGGAGTACTGGATGGGAGACTGATCGTGCTCTGGTCCAAGTCAAAATTACGGTCTGCAGGTGGATGGTGTGTGAATGTGTCCTCCCTGTAAAACAGGATGTGACGTATGCATGTTGTCTCCACATCATCCTCAGTTACGCTTCCCAGACCAATGCCAATAGTCCATATAGCAGCGTAAATAAAAGTACCGTACCTTAAAAAATTAGTGGTGAAACTTTTTGACGCAATAGCCATATTCCTGACTACACATACCGAGCCTAAAGGACTGTTCTCACTGAATACGATTTTTTCGCATGCGTAAAAAATCGCATGTGACCGAGAATCTGCCAAGTTTTATGCGGGTAAATAATTTCCCCCAACCAGGTTTTCATTCATATGCTAAAAAATCGCCGATAATGAAAATGGTTCTTTAAAACTTGATTAGAATTTCAAAAATTTACTAAAATCACAATTCGCGATCGCAACAGTCGAATACGATGTCTGGCGAGAAGGTGGTTTTGTTCTCCGTTTAGCACAAATGCAAGTTAATTCAACCAAAATTCCTCTGCGAAGGGAAATTTCTCCCATTACTTGATCCAGGAGCTCCCTTGTTTTCTGTATTGGGCTCAAATTACAGGGTTACGGAGTTCAACATTAGAAGTCAGAAGCCCAAAAATTGCTTGAGCAATAATTCTTGCGGAAGAGATTGCATGTTTGAATATAATTAGCAGACCCTCCCTAAAATGGAATTATCGAATTTTACAATTTCTACAAACATTAAAATATAAAATTGAATCCAAAATTTCAAAAACTCGCCTTTGAAAATAGGATATCCTGAACACACACGCGAATCATAAATATCAGGACAAAATATTTTTCCATCAGGAATATTGGGACACTATTAATCCAGTCCCTTACGTGATATAGCATCCTATTAAAATCTTGAATTATGCTTTAAATAAATATGTATCTACACATTTTTCACTGGTGTAATTAACTCAAAAACTTAACTATTTTGTAATTAACTATTTTGTTATTTCAGTTTTAGGCAAATATAATAAGAAGACAATTCCAAATCAGTGCAGCCATCTGCGAGTTCTGGATAATTTTCAGTCTTCCATCAGTACTTGTCAGTACACTTCATACGCGTGTTTCTCCTATGAAGGATTTAAGGCTGGACTCTGCAAGGATACTCCATTCACGAACAGGATGGGATATCACGCTGTCAAACCACCCTATCAACTCAATTATTTCTTGGACACCACCAGTAAAGCTCCCTACTGTGAACCCAAATAAGCTTCTCCTTCAAATATTAAAGCTCCTTAATTTTATATACTTCTGATTACAATATAATTATTAATCCTGATTAAATTATAAAGGTCTAGATTGCATTTATTTAAGAAATAGTTTTTATATTCTTCATTAACAAGGTTTTTCAAAGCTCCTACAACAAGAAAAGTAAAAAGGCCATAGTTTATATGCCTTACACTTGAAACAAAACCATAATTTTAAACTGTTTGTGCCATTTTGCTGCAAAGAATTGTCTGGGCTTTTCAGTGAACTGAAAAGTAAAATATTTTAAAAGTAATTTAACTTAATGCATCATTGGAGTAGGTTTCTAAATAATAGAAAATTAGACCACAAACTCTTTATGTCAAAACTGTGGCTTTTGGCCATATTAACGCTTTGCACCGTTTTCAGAGAAAACACAGAGGGTACTGGCTAAAAATAAGCTAAAGTTGACCGAACGGTCTTGAGTAGCTGTTTCAAACTTATATCAGTACAAAAATAGCAAATTATTTGCAAAAAGCATCTCATGTGACCATGAAGCTTTGATAAACAGTCAAATTACAAATTTACCAATTTACTAATTATATTTTAAATGTCTAAAAAATTTTATTAGCTAGTTTGTTAGTAACAAAAGCCAAACAAAAACTTTCATAATTTTAGTAACAAAAGTCTTCTATTACAAATTATAGATAGAAATGGAGTAGAGATCTTAAGGTCACTTAATTGTTGGGAATAAAACAAAGTGTCAGAAACTAAATTAGACAACAAAAAAAATCTAGGATGTTATTATGGACAGGGCACTGTGATATTGCAGTAAATGAGAAGGTTGATGTTTTGGCAAAGAGAGGCACAAGACTCTTAGTAGCCCAGTCCCCTTCTCAACTTTAAAAAGGATTGTTAGATCAAAAATCAATGAGGATTTCCATCACCAATTATCAGAAAGGGTAAAAACCAAAGTGTGGAGAGATCTTTGACTAAACACCATTCCAGACGGGCCGCGCCGAGAAGCGTTGGCTCAGTTTCGACTATATACCGGACATGAATGCTTAGCAGCGCACCTGGTTCGTTTAGGGTTGGCACCTGATCCCTATTGTTCTCTGTGTAAGAGCCAAGCTGTTTTGGATGGCGGCCACATCCTGTGCTGCAGGGCCCTCCGCGAGTCGTCGTCTACCGAGCGATATTGGGAAGCAAGAGCACTCCTGAGGAAATGACTTTTTACTTTCTTGTTTTGTTCCTGTGTTTTTGCTTTTTAACCTGTCAATTCACCTCTGCCATTTGAAATAAATAAATTGTGGACAGGGGCATTTCGGCTTAGTCAGCACAGTGTCAAAACTGTTGTTATTGCGGCCTATTCTCCAACTGTCTGACGAAGGGAGACAAGATCTTTTAGACCGTTAATCCTCCGAAAATCGAGAACCAGAAGGGGAGAAGCATATAAGTCTTCCCTGGAAGGACCCAAGCAGTCCAAGATGTGTTCTACTGTTCTTGACGTATAGAGCAGACTGCAAAAATCCTCCTGGCCTCAAAGAGAGAGAGACTTTATGTGTTCACTTGCTAGTCTCGCCGTTCGTGAGGCTCTGTCAGAAGTTGAGAACAAATGAAGAGCTCAGTTCCTTACCTGCATACCAGTAGTGACAGGAAGAGGTCTCACACTACTTCGAAATTTCATATTTAACCTTAGATTGATGCTCTGAGTAGGTAAGGGCGGAAAAGGAATGTGCAGAGTGTCTACAGCCCTCCTTGGCTTAGCAATCCGCTTGCTCTTTGCCATAAATGTCAACAAGAGATGGAATCCACTGAAAATTAACATTGTAGAACCTTGAAATACATTTAAAGAAGAAGGGAAAATCTAGTTTTATCTCTAACTACAATCCAGTTGTTAAGGTGTTGAAGGGATCTGCGACTCTGAACGGATCTGCGACTGCGAAGGGATCTGCTACTAAAGAATCCAACACTCGAAAGTCACACAAGTTGAAAATAGTTTCAAGGTCTTGTTTAATTGCCATAAGTTCTCTTTTAAAAACTGAAGAGAAATTTGGGTTACGGAAAAAAATAGGTCCCAAAACTCAAAATTTTTAGTACAAAATAAATTTTTTATATAAATGCTTTGAAAATAAAATTTAAATAATTTATCATAAGAGATAAATATAATAATCCATAAAATCCTTGAAAGATTTTTAAATGGGTACGCACAAATATTCTTGACTATTAAAGATTTATATTAAAAAAACTGGTTCACTTTAACTTTTTTTACTCAAGTAAATATTCGGCAAACTTTATTTCAGTGTATAATTGCAAACTTAATACTTTTATTGCAATAACTTAATGCAACCTAAAAAGTGGGAAAAAATTACATATTTGCAATTAAAATACAGTCAGCGCAATAGCGATATTGCATTTGCAATTATCCAAAATAATAATAAGACACTCTTTTTTTCTATAGTTGTACCAAACACAAAACGTTTAATTTTGTTAATTATTTCCACATTTTTATGTGCTTTTCATCATGAAATATGAAATTCTACAACACATAAATTGAACAAACAATCTTAAAATGAAATTATTTGTCAACCAAACTGTGCAACAAAAATGTTTGTTGAGCTACATAGTCAAGCAGAATTAATTTTAGCAATAGCTTCAAATACAAATTTTCCGCAAAACTTTTCAGAAAAAAAAAACGAAATTTTAATAAGAAATAAAAGAAAGGAAAATTCAATGTTGTATATATATTACACTGACTAGTAAATTCAAGTTTCGTCAAAAAAAATTAATATTTAATATTTGTGATCGACATAAACCCCTTCAGGACATGGCTTTGTCATATATTACTTTTTAATGCTCAATTTGGCAACTTTTAAAATTAAAAAGAATCATGAAAGTGTTCTGTAGGCAATTAAAAAATTTCTAAAAAAAGTTTAAGTGCCTTGCACATGAACACGTGAAACATAGTTATAATTTTATGAAACACAAAATGAGAAAAAGCAATTTTCCATGTTTTATATCAGAAATTAGAAAAGTGACATCAAAAAAATTAGAAAATGTACTAAAAGAATTTATCCTGCTGTGAATAAAATCATTAAGTTTCATGTTTTTTCGTTTAGGCGTTTAAGAACTTTTAATTTCGCCATTGAAAACTATACTGTCTCTTAACTTGAAACAGAAAAGAAGAAAAAAATCTACTAGGTCGAAAAAAGAAAATCCTGAACTTCAAAAATAAAAGTTATTAACGCTTAAAAATTCTTTAAATTTAATAAGATATTTTTTAATGTCATTATTCAAAATATGTGTTTTAATTATAAAGCCTTAATTTTAAATATATATGAGCAAGAGTAATATAATAAATATTAATTAATAAAATATTAAATTAATAAAACATAAAGATACTTTTATAGTTGTACATATTATTCTTGGACAATGTGTTTCTATAAAAGTGTTCTTAGATGCTTTCATTTATTTTACAGTAAAAGTTAAAAACTAAAATTACAAACTGATTAAAAAAAACGATGACAGCAACCATAGAGATATTTCTCAAAATTCAAAAAATTTTTCTTAATGCTGTAAGGAATACCAAGAAAACTTATGAATACTATATTTTTGAAAAGAAATAACTTGTTAGCAGTGTAAAGTTTGACAGCTATTATCAGCGTTGAAGCTCAGAAAAGCGTTGATCATTCAACTCATTTCTTACTGAAAGTATAAGCAGTAAAGTTTTCATATCCTCTAGTTCTGATTTTTGAGATCTGTGTGCAGCGTGACGTCATGAGGTGTGGTATCATAGCTTCAGATTTGAGTATGGAATGAACCAGCATTTCTGTATCTTCTCTTTAGCCCTGATATACCCTCTTGTCGAAAATATTTTTACGCGGTTCTTCATGCAGCGGATTACACAATGTGGACAAGATTGAGTTAACCTTAATCTGTTATATCGCTTTAAATAGCATTTGAAGTTGTTGCTTAAGGGTTGGCACCTTAGATAATTTGCATGAGAAAGAGAGTGAAACAAATTTTCTTCCTAGTACCTTTATGGCTGCCAAGAGTTATCTTTGGTAAGTTAATTTGAAAAACTTGAAAATAATTTGTAAATATCTTGAAGGAGCATCACTGTCATAGTTTTTTTATTTGCTTTTCTAAAACGCTATGACTTTAGAGTGAAATTAAATTCTTAAATCAATTTTATAGTTTGTGTTTTACTGATTATAGATGCGAATGAAATTAAAGAATCGTATTCCATGTTCTCTGTTATTCAAGGATCTTTTTTATGGCTGACTAGTATCAATGCAACTGACAGCAACACTTTTTTATTTTTTTATTTCTTTATCTCTGAAATGTTAATGCTTTACAACTTTTATCCATTATATATGAACACCAATTTAATTTTTAGCATTATCTCGTATCGGAAAAATACCTTAAAAAAATAGATGCAAACATTATTTTCAACAAAACAGAATCATGTGGCATATCAGCACCTCCCAACGATTGTAAACGATACCATTAAAATTCTGTCCATTAACCTATTACGAAAGGCAATTTTTGGCAGCTTTTTGAAGTCTGTGTGAAAAGCTTGTGTGTTTTTACATTTATAACCATCTGCTTATTTGCGAAAAGGTTTGCAACTAGACTTATCTAAAACTATGAAACTATAAAAAAGAGAAAATACATTTTAATTGAGAATTGTCGTCACAATTTAGTTACTAGAATGTTATCATAGAAGCTTTTAAGAACTGAGTTATAACCTATGTTATTTATTAAATAAATTAAACAAGAATGTTAATTTCATTTTCCAGGAATAGTTGCGGGATCATTTTTTTAGGATTAATTTTTTAGGTACTGTAAAATATATACAAATATTGAATTTTATTAAAAAAATAAGTTAATTGAAAATAGTTTGATTTCATTTTATTTATGCAGCCTATAATTGTAGCAATTATGAAACGAAATAGCAAATTAAAATTATAAAATATCCCAAAAAATATCCCAGCTTACGAAGAGTGATTAAAAGTTTCGACATGTATACCAGACTGTTTCTTATCCAGAAGAAAGTAAATTATGGTGAAA